TCTGCAGGAGGAAGATGCAAGAATTTTGCAAAATAGTCCGGCGACGATTTTTCGATGGGCGCTCTGGGCAGCTCTTGAGCGCGGGGAGAAGTCGCGGCGGGGCGGCTATATTCAGTTGAGGCGAACCCCCACCCTGCGCGCCCGCGAGCGTTTTCTCGCCTCAGGTGGTCACGATTCGCCTCCCGCCTGGCCGTCCCGCTGACGTCATCGGCGGTGGAATTTTACTGCCAGGCGTGCGACGCGGCGGGCACCCCGCCATGGCCGCCGTGCGCCATCGCGCGGGACATGATGGTGGCGCTTTGTCGCCGTCCAGGGACACGTTCGGTCCTGCATCTGCTCCGCGCAGACACAGGGTCCTTGACGGACGCGCGGGCCCTGATATCCGGTGCCCGGAAGGCGCGGCCACTGCGCGCGCCGCCCGTGTGTTCCACGGCGCCAGCGGCAGGCGGAACCGCCGGGCACGCAAGATTTCGTGCGCGCGCCATGGCTAAGGACGTTCGCGCGATGTCAGATTGGCTGCGCGAGGCGCGGCCGCGCGCTCAACTAACCAGGCGGCCTGCTACGCGCGCCGGCCAGCGGGCCTGGCGGCCAGCAGATCGGGCGCGGCGATTTGGCCGACGCATTCGTCATATGCTGGCAGTTATGTTTGCGCTTCGGCTCCGAAGCAGCGGGGTGAAATGCGCCAGGACATAGTGACATCTCGCTCCACGTGGACGAAGGAAAGCACCAGGTGCAGGTCCAGTTCCGCCGGCGGAAGGGAAAAGCGGCTCCCGACCCGGCGGGCCGTGCGCGCGCGCAGCGGAACTCGCCCTGGGGATGCCGCTTCGCGAGGTCTGGAGGGTTTGCGCGTGCCAGCTCCAGGGCAAACAGCTGTGCGCGGTTTGCATCATTCGGCATTCCCTCCGGCCGCTCGCCGGCTTGCGTCAAGCTCGCCGCTGCCCACCTCGGGCTCCATCATGCGTTGGAGTGGGGGACGCATTGCTTTAGACGCGGCCGGGTCGACCAGGCGGGCCCCCGCCCCCGCTTGCCCAGGGCTCGCGTGCGGTTCGGGCACAGGCACTCCGCTCCGGGGGCCCAGCTGCGCTGTTCTTCGAGCGGGGGTGGAGATTCGTGCTCGGGCGCCCCATTCGGAAAGGGGGCGCGGTCGCGCTGCCTGGTGTCGCGATGGCGCGGCGCGTCGCGGCGCACAGGTACCCGGCCGCAAGGACGTGAACCATGGTGCTGGCGGCAGAAGCGAGATCGCGCACTCCTGTTCCGACGAGGCGCCGCCCGGCAGGCATCGGCGTCGGGGTCGGGGCTCCGCGGCGGCGCGTGGCGCGCAGGACGCGCCGACTGCCGCGGAGGCGGTGCAGGGGCCGCCCAGGCCGTGAGTCAAGCAGACCGGGCATCTGCGGTCCGCTGGGAACGCGAGCGGGCGTCGGTCCGCTGAGTATGGATCGGGAGGCATCGGCGAGGTTGCTTGGCTCCGCGACGCCGGCTCGCGCTCGCCCCACCGCCTGGCCTGGGCCTGGCCAGTCGACGGTTGTGCCCTGCGTCAGCGCGGGCCACGCTTCGACGCGACTTCTCATGGGCGCTCTGGACAGCTTTTGAGCGAGGGGAAAAGTCGCGGTGGGGCACCGACGCCCGTTTATGGTTATTCTTCTTGCTTGTGTCCAATGCTGCGGGGCGGCTATATTCAGCTGAGGCGAAGCCCCACCCTGCGCGCCCGCGAGCGCGTTCGCGCGACCCTTCTGCGCGAGCACAGTGGTGTCGCGGTGTCTCCTGGGTGCGTCGAGGCTGGGCTGGCCCGGCGCTCGCCGACGCCGACGCCGACTCGCGCTCGCCCCACCGCCTGGCCTGGGCCTGCGCCAGTCGACGGTTGTGCCCTGCGTAAGCGCGGGCCCAGCCTCGACGCGACTTCTCGTCACCTTTTGATTATTGTTGCTGGCTTGCTTGGTTATTCGTTATTTCTCTTCCACAATCCGCCTGCAAGGGGGCATGCCCGACTCAGCGTCAGTCGTCGCTCTCCCCTGGAGAAATTGCCAGGGCGGGCCCCGGGAGAGGCCGCGGGGGCCGACTTTGAGCGCGCGTGGTCGGCCGACGGCGGGGTCGTCGTCGAGCCAGCGTCATCGACGGCGCTAAACGCCGATGTCGACCCTCGTCGACTTCTCCCCCATCCCACCCAGAACCCCGACGTCATGTATTTGCCAGCCCTCCTGCGTTAGGCTCTCGTTTTGAGTAAAGCACTGCGGTCGCGACTCATCCTTTGTCTCCCTCCTCCTTCCTGGCCCATCTTCCCTCATTCCGCCTCCTTACTTCCTTTGCTCGTGGCTCCCTGGTTGGCCGCGGACTGCGCACCTGTCGCCACTTTCGTGGGCTCCTGGCAGGTCCACCGGAGTCGGGGGCCACGCGGATCCATTGGGGACCTCGCTGCTCCTTGGGTGGTTGCGATGCACACTTGTCGACACTTTCGTGGGCTCCTGGGAGGTCTGGCGGAGTCGAGGGCCATGCGGGTACGTTTTGGACCTCGTTGCTCCTTGGGTGGTTGCGAATTCCGCGCCTGTCACCACTTTCGTGAGCGCCTGGGAGGCACGGCGGAGGTGAGGACAGCGCCGATTCGTTCGGGATTTCGCGGCTCCCTCGGGCGCTGCGAACTGTGCAAGTGTCGCCACTTTCGTGGGCTCCTGGGAGACACGGCGGGGATGAGGCCACCGCAGATCGTGCATGTCTGGCGGATGTGTTCTTTTGATCGGAGCGTTCATGCAAATACGTTCCTCGCGTGGGGAAAGGTAGGTACGTCTCGGGAATTTGTTTTGTCACAGCGTCGACCCCCTGGGAGGTGTCGACCACTTCCCAGAAACCGGTTTGCCATCCCGAGGCGTGTTTCCTGTTGGTCCCGGGGCCCGGCTCGGGCCCGCAAAGGCCGAGACCGTCGCATGTTTGTCTTCAAGACGCGAGGACGTTTGGGTTGTCCCTCTCTCCCGCACCTGCGGCCCTTTTGCCACGGGCGGCCTTGGCGCTGCGTGTGAAGGGGTTGGGGCGGGTGGGGCGGGGAGTGGCGGCGCCGATGTGAGGGCACGTGGAGGGAGGGACGGGGGGAGGGGGACGGGGAGGAGGGAGGGGGGAGGTGCACAGGCGAGACGGATCGAAGAAACGCAGGTATGCATTACGTAGGGCGCATGGATTCGCGACAGGCCGCGCTTCCGTACAGAATCGGCTTCGCCTCGTGTTTCGGGGGCGCCTCCCCTCGATCCGTGTTCGCGCGTGCCCGAGGAGAAGGAGGGAGGGAAGAGGAGGAGGAGGAGGAGGAGGAGGAGGAGGAGGAGGAGGAGGAGGAGGAGGAGGGAGGCGAAGGAGGAGGGAGGCCTCTGGGGGAGGTGCCAGCGGGACCAGGCGGCTCCTGGGTGTCCTCGGCTGTGTCCGGGGACGCCAGGGAGAAGAGGCGCAGGCGAGTGGCCAGAAAACGGTCGGGCAGGGGGCACGGAGGGCAGCAGGATCGCCAGGAGCTGCGGGCGGGCAACATTCGACAACGCAGAATCTTGAGATCGCCGACGCTGCGATCTTTGCCAGTCTGGTGTTTTTTGTTCCCAGACCATCCTGTGGTGTTGGGCCTTCGTTTTGAAGAGACAGCGCCTCGCGCCACTCACTCACTCCTCCATTCCTCCTTCCTCCTCCCCTTCCTTCTCCTCCTCCTCCTCCTCCTCCTCCTCGTCCTCCTCCTCCTCCTCTCCTCCTCCTCCTCCTCCTCCTCCTCCTCCTCCTCCTCCTCCCCCTCATCATCCTCCGCATCCTCCTCTCCGTGCGTCTGCCCCTCCGCGCAACCATTCCGGCGCAACCATTCTGCCCCAGCGGCAGAGTCCGCAAGGCCTGCCCGCACCCGATTCGGCACACTCCTTTCCCAGACATGATCGCGTCGTGAAAAAATCAGGACGGTAGGTGTTTGTCTATTTTTAGGCCCCGGGGGGGCCTCGCCGGGCCTCGGGACCGTCCAAAAAGCGACTCAGGACGAAAAACCGGTCCTGGGGACAGGGTCGAGACTTCCAGGGACGCCGTCTTGAAAAAATCAGGACGTCGCATGTCTGGGTTAACGCTTCGGCGCACCCCTCACACGCTGCGTGATAGGGAGTTCCACCGACGGCCCCAGCGGCAGGATCCGCATGGCGCACACGCACCCGATGCAACACACCCCTCACACGTTTCGTCTCCTCATCAGGAGCTCCACCGAAGGGCCCCAGCGGCAGGGTCCCAACGGCGTAGCCGCACCCGATTCGGCACACCACTCGCATGCTCCGTGGCCCCATTGGGAGTTCCACCGAAGGGCCCAGCGGGAGGGTCTGCATGGCGTACCCGCGCCTGATTCGGCACGCCCCTCACAATTTATGGTCCCATAGGGAGCTCCACCGACGGCCCCTGCGGCAGGGTCCGCACGGCGCACCCGCACCCGATTCGGCACACCTCGTACACGGCTCGTGACCGCATAGGGAGCTCCACGGGAAGCCCCAGCGGCAGGGACCGCATGGTATACCCGCACTCGATTCGCCAAGGGAGCTCCTCCCGAGGGCCCAGCAGCAGTGTCCGCATGTTGCACCTGCATGCAACTCGGCGCACCCCGCGAAAGCCCCGCGACACGCACCGGTCGTGCCGAAGAAATTCGAGCGACGCGCGCAAGTCTCCCGCGGCGCGGGGTCAGAAAGTCGGGTGCCTGAAAAGAGGCGAGGCACCAGGCAGAGCGCGCGGGTGTCGGGCAGCAATTGGAGGCAGAGCTCAGGGGAGTCCCCATGACGCGCGCTGGTCGCCCCGAGAGGATTCCATGGACGCGCGCGGGTCGTCCGCGGCGCGAGGCCGTACAGCTGGGCAGTCGAAAAAAGGTGGGACTCGGACGGGCCGTTTTTTAGGTCAGGCCTCTGGATGCCCGGTGAAACCCAGCTCCTCGGCGAGGCCGTCGCCGAACTCTCCGCTTGCCCACGTCCGTTTGTTCTCCCTACCCCTGGGCCCGCCTCGGCACGCCGCCCCCCCGGCAGGACGACGCCGCGCGCGCCGCGGAGGAGGCCGCCGAGAGGGCTCGCCTCGAGGAGGAGGAGGAGGCGGCCCGGGAGCGGCGGCGTGCCGAGGCGGGCCCCGTGGCCTCGTCCCGTTGCCGCGCCCTCGTGGCCGAGCCGCTCTCCCTCTCCGGCTCTCCCCCGTTGCTCTCTCTCTCTCGCGCGCGCCTCTCGCCGCGTCTCTCTGTTCGCCCCCCTCCTCCCCCTCCCCTCCTCCTCCTCCTCCTCCTCCTCCTCCTCCTCCTCCTTTCCCTCCGCCTTGTCCTCCTCCTCCTCCTCCTCTTCCTCCTCCTCCTCCTCCTCCTCCGCCTTCTCTTCCTCTTCCTCCTCCTTCTCCTCCTCCTGTTCTTCCTCCTCCGCCTTTTCCTCCTTTTCCTCCGCTTTCTCTTCCTCCTCCTCCTCCTCGTCCTCCCCCTCCTCCTCCTCCTCCTCCTCCTTCTCCTCCTCCTCCCCCTTCTCCTCATCCCCCTCCTCCTCCTCCTCCTCCTTCTCCTCCTTCTCCTCCTTCTCCTCCTTCTCCTCCTTCTCCTCCTCCCCCTCCTCCTCCTCGTTCTCTTCCTCCTTCTCCTCCTCTTCGGGCGGGTGGAATCTGACGGGCGGGCTGGGAAGGTGGGCCCGAACGGCCAGGTCGAGTCGGCGGGTTGTTGAAGCGTGCGGCCTGTTTGCTGGTATGTTCGGCATCGGGGGTCCCTCGCGTGGCCTGGGGGGGCCGTCAGACAGTTGCTCGGGGTGAGACCTCCGGGGGTCAAAAAAGAATGACGTCGGAGGTGTGGGTTCGTTCTCCCCCCTCCGCCCGGAGTGGCCAACTAAGGCATTTGTCTGCCAGGCGGCGGGGAAAGACAAGTGGCTCTGCTCCGCTCATGTTTTTCGATGGGGACCTCTGCATGTCTTGGGCCGTTGTGCCCTGACCCCCCTCCTCTCTCTGGATGCGGCCCTTCCTCGTCGCTCTCTGTTGTTCAGTGCCTCGCTTCATGGGCACATGCCTTGTGGCTTTTCGCGCCGCTCTCACCCCGGGAGGGGTTGCAAGGTTTTCCATACTTGGGGTCGTTGGTGTCATTCATACGGTGGGAGCGTTGGTTAAGGAATGTGCCCAGGAGGCTTCCGACCCTGGGGGCTTCCTTATCTAATGAGGGCGACGGTGATATCCATGGCCAGTCCACGATCGAAGTTCCACTGGCTTCGAGACCCTGGATTCCTTATAAGGGTTCCTTATCCAATGCCCTCACCGTATGGCTGCTGGATAAACCGGTGCGCGGAAACCGGGGTGACACTCGTGCAGTAACCCGCCCAGCCTCACCCACGGAAAGGCCCGCTGTCCTGCGAGGCCCACAGCTGCAAATTTGAGTACACGCTGGTCTTTGATAGTGATTCGGTAGTTTGTTGATTCCCAGATCTCCATCTGCTTCAAGCGCCTTCCTGCTTCAAGAACCGACATGCTGCTGCTGCTGTGTTGTATTATCTGGGAGGGCCTGAACCCAATCTACTGTATCCGCCGTCCTACTTCATCCGATTACCTACTTCTTCCGGCGGGCGTGGACTCCTGGGATGCGAGAGGCGTTGCGGCGCAAGCCGTGGGGCAGCTGGCGGGGGATCAACATGTTGACGCCTCTTCCCCGGCGGAAGGCCTGGGAAGGCATGGCCCACATAGCATGTTCCAGACCTAGACATGCGACGCCCTGTTTTTTTCAGGACGGCGTCCCTGCAAGTCCCGACGCTTTCCCCGGGAGCGGTTTTTCGGCGAGGGCCCCCAGGGCCCCCCATTCGTAATCCCCAAACGTGGTGGTGACAACACCTGGCGGTGAGTCTCGGGCGATTTGGTGTCACCACCCGGTTTGGGGACTCATGCGCTTGTTCGAGGATGTCCCGAACGCTGGTGGGCCCAGGAGTCACAAGACCCGGCGGTGAGCCCGTGTCCCCAAACCCGGGGGTGACTTTTTGGGGGATTCCAGGTCACCACTTGATATCTCACCACCTGGTTTGGGGGCTCCCAACCCCAGGGCCAAAAACCTCCCGTCCCATTTTTTTAAACGACGCGATCATGTCTGGGATCAAGACCCTGAGCGCGAAGCCAGTTGCATCCCTTGGGGCGCATTTTTTTTTAATTCCGCCAGCGGCCGCTGGCTTTCTGCCGGGTGCCCCTCTGGCCGGCCAGTGGAGCCACGCCCCCGTTTTCTCTTTCCGCCGCCTGCGGAAATGAAAGATCCGCCCCCAGAGGTGGAAGTCCCAGACATGATCGCGTCGTTGAAAAAATCAGGACGGGAGGTTGTTGGCCATGTTCGGCCTCGGGGGGCCCTCGCCCAGCCTCGGGGCCGTCAAACAACGACTCGGGACGAAGAACCGGTCCCATGGGAAGGGTCGGGACTTCCAGGGACGCCGTCCTGGAAAAATCAGGACGTCGCATGTTTGGGTAGGTTGTCTTGCCTGCAGGGTTTCCGGAGCCCGCGAATTCTGTGTGTGTGGCAGGCCGTGCTGCCCGGGAGGTTGCACAGCCGCGCCAGCTCGACGCCGCTCGCTTTCTGGAGGCCGGGGGTGCCCCCGGCAGCCTGCTCCACTCTTCCGTCTCCGTGCCGCCCTGGGTTCCGCCAGCTCGCCTATAGTGGCAGCGCAGCGTCCGCGGCGTGTTCTGCCACGGCGCGGGGGGGCTTGTTTTTTTTTTGTTTTTTATATATTTTTTTTATTTTTTTTAATTTTATTTTTTATTTATTTTTTTATATTTTTTTTATTTATTTTTTTGCAATCCTTCGCTCGGCGCTTGGCTGGGTGGTGTGCTCCGCGACGTGAAGGTGCCACTCATGCGGCCGCCCTGCCGGCAAGCGCCACGGCGCAGGCGGGACACGACGGGGCTCCGCAGATGCACGCGCTGGCCGAAGGTCGCCCCGATGGCGCGGTCGGAGCGCAGGAGGGAAAGAAACACACAGACACAATTAATCGTCGACTCCCAGGAAAATATGCAAAAATATGGGAAGTGGTGGGGAAGACAAAAACCCAGACAATATGGGTAAATATGGGGGATATTTTTATTTGTGTGTATTTATTTGTGTGTTCCAGTTCCCCTTCAGGAGCGCAGGTCTCCGACGACATGTGCTTTTCATCTGGGCGTGCGGTTTCCTTTGATTTTGGCTCCCGCGCGAGGGCCGTCGTCGGGTCCCGCGACCACCGAATTTGAACCCGGGGCGACGAATCTGCCCTGGGGACATGGTCGGGATCCCTGGGGGTGTGATGTTCCAACCTACTTTGGCCTCGACCACCAGACAGAATTTCTGGGTGCTCAAAAATACAATAAGGGCCCGACCACAAGAAACCTTCCACAATGAACCCATCCCTGAGACCCCAGGCCGTCCATGGACTTTTGGTGTGGGAACGTCACGATTTTTGCAAAAACATCGAAACCCAAGAAACCCAGGGCACCCTGGAGGCAAGCAGGATGTTTCTTGGCATGGGCCTCCATTGTATTTTTGGGATGTGGTCCTGGAGGACGATGAGAGCACCATAACTCTGGGGCCGCGCATTGAAACATTCAGATATCGTCGGATGTCTGGGGATGCCTTCTGAGGGAGCGCGCCGGCTTTTCGCTTCCCCGCCCTCGCCTCCCCGGGAGTGCCACCGGCATCGATCAGAAAAAGACGATCGATCAATCGTTTATTGTTTTACTTGTTTTCGTGTTCTTGTCCCTTCCTCGGGGTTTGTTCTGGTTGTTTCTTTTTGTGTTTGCTTTTTGTATGTTTTTCTTCTGGTGTTTTTCTGTTTCCCGCGCGCACTGCGTGCTGGCCGCGTCAGCCTGGTGCGCAGGTGATCACCCCGTCGGCGGCCTGCGCGTCGCGGCGCCATGGTCATGGCACGACGACGAGGCCAAGGGAGGAGGAGGGAGGTAAAAGGAGGAGGGGGAGGACGAGGAGGACGAGGAGGAGGAGGAGGAGGAGGAGGAGGAGGAGCAGGAGGAGCAGGAGGAGGGAAAGGAGGAGGAGGACGAGGAGGAGGAGGGGGAGGAGGACACGCTTCGCCCAGCTCCTGCGCGCCACGCGTGGCCCCTCGCGTCGTGGCAAAGAGAAGTGGCGGGTGCGTTGCTCTGCTGCTTCCAGGCTCTGGGAGCCCTCGCCGGCCCCTGGGAAGGTCAACAGGAACGACTCGGGATGAAACGACAGTCCCGGCGAATGTGCCGAGGGGGTCGGCGTGGGACAAACAACACTGACTTCGGGAGTCTCGGTCCAATGCGCACGGCGGCGACGACGACGGCGGCAACAAAAATAATACGCAATGCGACAGAAGAGACATTGAGCGTTGGAGTCGGGTGCAAGGATGACGTTGGAGCCAGAATTCGCAACTCGCCAACGTCACGGCTTGAGCTGTGATGTGGATATTTGAACATATCCAACGTCCCAGGAATCCTCAGTAACGTATGAGACGGTAGATATGGATATCTTCAGGCTTGTGGGTGCCCATTCATTCACAGCGCCGCCCGTCGGCGACCGCAACGACGACGACGACGGCAGTGGCGGCGAGGACGACGACGTCCATGACGGCGACGACGACGACGGCGACGACGACGACGACAATGACGACAACGACGACGACGGACGACGACAATGACGACAACGACGACGACGACGACGACGACGACGACGACGACGACGAAGACAACGGCGGCGGCGTCGGCGGCGATGGCTCTGGCGGCGACGGCGGTGGCAGCGGCGGCGGCGGCGGTGGCAGCGGCGAACAGGACGACGGCGACCACCACGGCGGCCACGATGGGCTTGGGCATGTGGCGATTGCGACGCCGATGAAGCTCAGGCAATGCCAGGGCTGTCACCACTGACGGGAATCAGCTCCTCCCGATGATCGTGGCTCAAGGGTCAGGGGTCGAGGCGGTCGAGGAGACCATGGACGATTCTGGAGCTTCTGGGAGTTTATGGGGGACTTATGGGGTTCTGAGGCCGGCCGTTGCTAGAGGTGAGGCCCCCTGCGGCCTCCAGAGCAACCCTCACGAGGCCCAGAGGGCCCCAGGAGCTTCCCAGTTAATGGATCGAGCAGCTGGGGACACCTTGGGCCAGGGACACCTTCAGCGACCCCCGCCGAGGGGACCTCCTCGAGCAGTCGGCGCCGCCCCCTGGTGCTGACCTCCCCTCTAGCGATGCCTGGTGCGCTGGCCCCTCGCCACACCCCCTCGTCGCCCGTAGCCCGGCCTGGCGCACGGCCGACGTGACGACGGCGGCGGCGGAGACGGCAACGGCGGCGGCGACGGCGGCCGCGTCGACGGCGACGGCGGCCGCGATTGCTTTGACGACGATGGCGGCGACCACGCCGACCCCTCGTTCCCGCCTCGGCTGGCCCGCTTCAGGAGGAGGCTGCCGAGCGGGCCAGGGCGGAGGAGGAGGCGAGGGAGGAGGAGGCGAGGCGGCGAACCGAGGAGGCGCCGCGGCCGCCTCCCGTCGCCGCCATCGTCCGCGCCGTCGTCGCCGCCGTCACCGTCGTCGTCGACGCCGTCGTGATCGTCGTCGTGGTGGTTAGCACCATCGTGGTCGTCGCTGCCGTCGTCGCCGCCGTGGTCGTATTCGTCGTCGCCGCCGCCGCCGTCGTGGTCGTCGCCGGTGTGGTCGTCGTGGTCGCCGCCGCCGTCGTCCTCAGCTCCAGCTTCGCCTTAGTCGGCCTGGGCCTCGGCGTCGCCGCCGTCGCCGAAGGGAAGCTTTCCCATCAGGGGTCTGGATCCCTGGGGCCCCGGCGGACCGAACAGGCCCGTTGAGACGCGCAAAGCGATGGGGCCTGTAAGTAGTGGTCGTGCTGTGTTGCATGCGGCTTCGTGTCGTTTACGCAGGGTCGGATGTCGGGGTCTGGCTTCCTCTGCCCCTCTCTCTCTCTCTCGGTCGCTCTCTGGGTCGCTCTCTGGGCATCTCTGGGTCCCTCCCTCTCTTTTTTTTTTTCTCTCTCTCTCTCTCTCTCTCTTTCTCTCCTTAGTTCGCTCGCTCTCCCGCTCTCTCTCCCTCTCTCTCTCTTTCTCGCTTTCTCTCGCAGGAGCAAGGATGAGTAGGACGAGGAGGACTTGGAGCAGTTGGGAGAGGAGGAGGAGATAGAGGCGGATGAGCAGAAGTTTGAGTAGGAGACCAACATGATGGAGAAGATGAGAAGAAGGAAGAGGCGGATGACAAGCAGGATGCTCATCTTTCGTGTTAGGTCCCCTCTCTTCATTTCTCCTCCCATATGTACCCTACCCCCCTTGCAGTACACAACTTCTCCAGACCTCCCGAACGAGTCGAACACGCCATCGTGAATGACGGAGATGCCGCAGGTCAGACGCAACGCATTTCATCTTCCCGCGAGCCAGCGCCAGAAAAGTCGGCCGCGAACCCATTATCAAGGCCACGCTCGCTACGGAGGCCGCAACCGTGGAAGAAGTTGTACAGTTAGCGGGATGGGGGGGGCGCGAGTTGTCCGCATCTGTCCATTCTTGCCTCTGCAATGCATGTGCATTTCCAGCATGGCTTGCTTCCGTACGCTCACGTCAAGCTCCACTTCGCATCACGATGCCGAAATCGTACCCTCTCGGCGAAGCGCGTGATCTCTGAACAAGCCCCGAATCCATGAGCGCAGGGATCTTCCTGCAAAGAAGACGTCTCTTCACCCCTCCTGCGGCGGGCGCGTTAAATTCAGCATCGACGCTGGCGTTTGCTTTGTCGGGATCTAGCATGCTCCATGCTACGATCGGGAATATTTGCTTAGCGTGTCGCTCCGCCGGTTCTGACCCGACACTCGTCTGCGAACCACGCTGACCACGACCCAGTCCCCGAGCGTTAATTTCCTCAGGATTTCCCAGCCTCCCACCCCGCGGAGCAGAGTGTTACACTACCAGCTTGCAGTGCATAGCGTGTCGCTGGGGTGGCCGCCGTGACATGCCAAGCAAACGATTCCGACCGCAGTCCTGCTGAATCCATTTTGTCTTGGGCGCATCAATCCTGCAGAAATTCTTTCGCAGCCTGGAATCGGGCTGTGTGTCCCTTCCCCACGAAGGCCTTCCAGAAGTTGCCTCCTAATCCTCCGCATTTCTGTGGCCCCAGATTTCCGATATCGCATGTTTTGCAAGGTGGGCCTCTAGTGGTCTAGACCCGTTTCTTGCGACCGGCTTTCCATCTTTAGGCGACCTTGGCGCGGTGAGGCCCGGTGCCAGTCCAGTCCAGGGGCCCAGTGAGGCCCACATGAGTTCGAACATGGCCGCTCACATCTCGTGATGATTTGTTCAAGACGAGCGCATGCTCAGGGCCTGTGCCGATCCGATCGATTCGATTCGCTGTCGATTCGTTGTCGATTCGTTGTCGATCCGATCGGTTCGATTCGTTGTCGATTCGGTTCGTTGTCGATCCGATCCGTTCGATCCGATTCGATGTCGATCCGATCGATCCGATTGGATTCCGATACCCCAGCGATCCGATGCGGCCCGAGGTGCGCACGGCGCTGCCGTGCATCCCGGCGCGGCCGCTCCGCTTTTCGACCTCGATCCGGTGCCCGTGCGGCACGACCGGACACGCTTCCCGATCCGGCTCCGTTTTTTTCCGATTCGGTGCTGTTCGACTCTGGGAGATGCAGTGCAGGTGAAGCCCTTGGGGAGGAGTCCTCACACGTGGCACTCACTCACCAGGGGGCATTCCTCCTCCTCCTCCTCCTCCTCCTCCTCCTCCTCATCTCCTCCTCCTTCTCCGTCCTCGGTCCTCGGTCCTCCTCTTCCCCATCCTCGCTCCTCGTCCCTGTCCGCTCCTCCTGCTCCTCCTCCTCTTCTTCTTCTTCTTCCTCCTCCTCCTCCTACTCCTCCTTCTCCTCCCTCCTCCCCCCTCGAACTCCTCCTCTTCCTCCTACTCCTCCTCCGTCTCTCCTCCTCCTCCTCCGTCCTCTGTCCTCCTCCCCCCCACCCTCGCTCCTCGTCCCTGTTTGCTCCTCTTCCTTCACATCCTCCTCCTCTTCTTCTTCCTCCTCCTTGTCCTCCTCCTTCTCATCCTGCCTTCTCCCTCCTCCCTCTCCCTCCTCCTCCTCTCCTCCTCCTCCTCCTCCTCCTCCTCCTCCTCCTCCTCCTCCTCCTCCTCCTCTCCTCCTCCTCCTCCTCCTCCTCCCCTCCTCCTCCTCCTCCCTCCTCCTCCTTCTCCTCCCTCCTCCTCTTCCTCGTCCTCCTCCTCCTTCTGCTCCTCGTCCTCCTCCTCCTCCTCCTACTCTTCCTCCTCCTCCCCGCTCCTCTCTTTCCCCCTGCACTCATGGCTCCCCCCTCTCTTCGCTCCTCCTCCTCCCCCTTGGCTCCTTGCTCCCGCCTCTTCCCCCCTCGCGTCGAAGGCGCGGGAGCTCGAGCGGGCCGGCGAGGGCCGGGAGCCAGAGGAGAGCGCGGACGCCCAGGAGACAGGCGGCGCGGGTGAGGAGGGGAAGGAGCCGAGGGGTCCCAGACCCCCTCGCGCTGTGAAAAATCACGACAGGAGGTTTTTCGCTATTTTCGGCCTCTGGGAGCCCTTCCCGGGCCTCGGTAGCGTCAAAACACAAATCGGGATGAGAATCTGGCCCCCGGAAAGGGGCCCAGGGTCCAGACCTCCAGGGGTCGACGCCGCGAACAAAATCACGACGTCAGGGGTTTGGGGTGGAGGCGCCGAGGGGTGGGGGAGGGCAGCAATGGACTTAGTCCAATGGATTATTAGACGTAAGAGTGGCCTGTCGCCGGAGTGACCTTTTGGTGTGCGGGCCCGTTGGGGGGTCCCCCGGTCGCGGAGCGCGGAGCCCTGAGCAGCGGCTCGCGCGCCTGGGTCTGGCCACCCCGCGGCTCCCCAGAGGCCCCGTGCAAAAGGCCACTCTTACCCAGTCCTCCTCCTCCTCCTCCTCCTTCTCCTCCTCCTTTCCCTCCCTCCTCCTCCCCCTCCTCCTCCTCCTCCTCCTCCTCCTCCTCCTTCTCCTCCTCCTTTCCCTCCCTCCTCCTCCCCCTCCTCCTCCTCCTCCTCCTCCTTCTCCTCCTCCTCCTCCTCCTCCTCCTCCTTCTCCGTTTCCTCCTCCTCCTCCTCCTCCTCCTCCTCCTCCTCCTCCTCCTCGCCTCCTCCTCCTCCTCCTCCTCCTCCTCGGTCGCTCTTGCGTGTCGCCGCGTCAATCTCCTCCTCGTTCGACGACGAGTGGCACGAGGAGCCCGCCCGATGCGATGCTGCTCGAGCATCGCTCTCGTCCGCGGGGGGGCGGGCGACGGCGTCGACGACGATGGCGAGAGGACAACGAGTAGCCGGGCGGCTGGGGCCCAGCACTGCGGCGATGTATCGCCGATTCCAGGGCCAGGCTCCCCCCCCAGCTATGCCAGCCCCCCACCCCGCACCGTTGCCCCTCGCAGGAGGGGGCCGGCCGATCTGGGGGGCGGTGATTCTGTGTGCCTGGGGCGGACCCCTGCGGCTCTCCTCGGCCGCCTCCTCCCCCTCTGGTCATGCCCCCCCCGTTCCGCAGGCCCCCGCTGCGGGAGGCGATCGGGGCGTGGGGGGGCTTGCCTGCCGCTCCTCGCGGCCCTCCGTCGGGGAAGCGCCAGACGCCAGTGCGCCGGACCTCGGGCTTGCCGGCGCGCACGGACGAGCGCGACCTGCTTCCGTGTGGTTGCAGCGAGAGCGGGCGTCAAGTTTCAGAGTGGGTCTCGTCACTTTCGTGACGGCCCCGTCAGGCCAGCCCGAGTCTCACGTCTCCCCGATTCAGGGGGCCCTGGCAGCTGCTCCGCGCATCCCCCCCCCAGAAGGCAGCCAGCGGACCTACAGAGACGTCAAGGGCATCCCTGTGCCGTCTCCTCTCCCTGATCGGCAAATTTCCCACTACCACTACCACTACCACCTTCCTCCTTCTCCTCCTCCTCCTCCTCCTCCTCCTCCTCCTCCTCCTCCTCCTCTACCTCCTCCCTCTCCTACATCTGGTTGTGTTGGTGGACAATTGGCCCATCACCCCCTTGAGGAGCGAGTGTCCTGTGGGAGCCGGGTTCTGGACCCTGGGGAGGAGGGGGTGGGTGGGGGGGGGGGGGCAATGCCCCAAGACACGCCTCCGAGATCCCGAGCCGCTGCTCGACGGCCCCTGGGGGCTCGACCGAGAGGCCGAAGACGGTGGAAGCGTTCGGGGCCCGTTTCCCCAAGGACCCTTGCCCAGACACGATCGCGTCGTTAAAACATCAGGACGGGAGGTTTTTGAGCTATTTTTGGCCCAAGGGGGCCCTCGCTGGGCCTCGGGGCCGTCAACAAAAGCATCTCAGGACGGAAAACTGGTCCTGGGGAAAGGGTCGGGATTTCCAGGGACGCCGTCTTGAAAAAAATCAGGACGTCGCATGTCTGGGTGCCCTTGCTTCATGGCGATTCTCTTCCCTCCCAGGGCCGCCTACGATCCGCTTCTGTGCGATCCGATTCGCCGGCTGGGGCCGCGATTCCAGTTCGATGCGATTCGGCTCTGTTCACCAGCATCGGCCGGGGCCAGCCGGAAGCGGAGCGCGGCCATCCGACACCGATTCCATTCGGGACGATTCTTTGGCAATTCGATCCGCTCTCGATCCTATCCGGTCTCGCGATCCGATCCAATGCAGACCTGCCTCCTGCCATGGGTCCCCGGGTGCGGCCCCATCTGCATTCGGGAAGCCCGCCAGGCAGAGAAGACCTGGACGAGGACCAGGACGACGAGGAAGAGGACGAGGGCACCGAGGACGGCCGCACCTTCTCCGTCTGGCGGCCATCCGTCCCATACCTCTGTCTTGCACCTTGTTGGCATCCCCGCGTTCCTCCCTCCTCGACCTCCGCTACCTCCTCTTCCCCCTGCCACAGGCGCGCTGGCCAGTCAGCACAGGCCAGCCACTGGGTTGGGGATTTCCCGATGTGCTCCGTTAAGCCTGCTGCCCAGCCCCTTGCAGACCGAACTGTGCGCTCTCATGGACGGCACCTCCGCGATCTCATACAATCTCGCAGGCGCGATAAGCCGTCCATGAAAACCAGACTGGCAGCATTAGCTCTTCTTTGTTTTCTCATCGAAGCCGCTACCCGGTCGCGCTCTCGATTCCTCACATCTTCCTTTGTGAGGATTCCTTCTCTATCTCGAGACTCGTTGGCGAGTCACTTGCTCGCCCTCGTTGTTGTCTCATTGCCTCCCCCTCCGCGGCATTGTTTTCGCCCTATCCCAATTCCACTTCGCATCATCCTCCGCCACCCTCGAAGCTCCAGGATCCATTTCGACCCGATCCATCTGATTCGATATCCATGCCGATTGGCCCGATCCGATTCAACTCCAGCACTCCCGCGATCCGATGCGAGTCGATCCGATGCGCATTCCGATTCGATCCGAATTTCCGATTCGGTGTTGACGGGTCTTGCCCAGGGTTCGGGGTCTTCCTCCGTTTCTCTCTCGCTCTCGCTGGTCCGCGCACATGCTTCGAGGGGTCCCCACTTCGTTCGCTCCCCCCCCTCCCCACCACACAATGAATATAAGTGTTGATATGCTGCGAGACAGACATATCGCTGCGGCGCATCCCGTGGTTATGGGGGGGTCTATGAGTCTGCGCGTTCACTCCGCGCTTCGATGCCCCTTCCGCTGCCCAGTTAAATCTCTCTCTCTCTCTCTCTCCCTCCCTCTCTCTCTCTCTCCTCTCCCTCCTTTTTCAAATCAAGATGTCTAGGTGTATGTGCATGTATCCAGCATATATCCAGCCGCCTGCGGCACGTCCCGCCACAGTGCCAGCCCAGCATTCCGGGTCGCGATTGTTCGAGGGCGCACAGGAGGCAAACATGTGTGTCACCTCATGTCTCCACGCTTGGAAGAGCCGTCATAAGGATGATGAAGACCATCAGGATCATAGGGATGATGACAATGATGATGATCGGTGATGGTGCTGACGGTAGATGATGGTTATGCTGATGATGATGATGGTGTTGCTGATGATGATGACGGTGATGGTGATACTGATGATGGTGATGATGACGGCGATTGTGATTGTGTTTGGGATGATGATGGCGATGACGATAGTGACGAAGATGTTTATGGTGATGCCGAGTTTGATGTTACGATGGTCATGCTGATGCTCGGCGGTGATGATGACGATGGTTACGATGATGGTGCAGATGTTGATCATGATGGTGATGGTGGTGATGGTGATGTCAGTGAGGTTGACGAGGATGATGAGTACTATGTTAGTGACGATTCTGATGGTGATGATGGTGATGGAGGTGGTGATGATGATGAGCGTGATACTGCTGGTGAGGCTGACGGAGATGACGAAGATGGCGATGACAATGCCGATGTTGGTGATGATGGTGATGATGCTGATGATGATGATGATGGTGACGACGACGATGATCTTGATGATTATTATGATGATGCCGACGGTGGTGGTGATGATGCTGATTCTGCTGATAATGATGACGGCGAGGAGGTGAATGGTTATGGTAATAGTAATGATGCGGATTATGAGGATGATGCTGATGATGCTGATGATGATGATGATGATGCTGACGACGACGGCAACGATGATGATGATGATGATGATGATGATGATGCTGATGATGATGATGATGATGCTGATTTTGATGATGATGCTGATGATGACGATGCTGCTGTTGATGATGCTGCTGTTGATGTTGATGATGATGATGATGATGATGATGACGATGATGATGATGATGCTGATGATGATCATGATGATGGTGATGATGCTGATGATGATGATGATGATGATGATGATGATGATGATGATGATGATGATGATGATGATGATGATGATGATGCGACTCGTTTTTGCCGTTCTGGGGCTGCCTTGGCATCCCGTGAGGCCCTCTGGGGGTGCCTTGGGGCCTTCTTGGGCCGTCTTGGTGCCCTCTTACGCCGGCTTGGGGTTCTCTTGGGCCGTCTTGGGGCCCTCTGTGCCGCATGTTCGGTGTCTGGGGGCCGTCGTGGCGCCGTTGTGGGCAGTTCAAGGGCCTTATAAGGCCGTCTTGGGTCCCACAGGAAGCCCTCTTGGGCCGTCTTGGGGCTGTCTTGGATGCCTCTTGGGCCATCGTAGAGTCCTCGTGGGCCGTCTTGCGAAACTTACTATTCCAAAATCAATGAGACATCGCTGATTTTTGCTTCGTCGGACCCTGTTGGTGGTCCTCATGTGGCCCTTCTGGGATCTCTTGGAGGCATCATGGGCCATCTTGAGCCAATAGTTCGGCCGCCTTGGGGCCATCTTGGGCCGTCTTCGGGGCATATTGGGCCATCTTGGTGTCCTTGGCTCCCTGCGCGGGCCGCTCTGCTCGGGACACGGACCCACAGGGTTTGACGAAGGATCGTGGCGTGGGAGGCCCCGGAGCGTCTGGGAGCAGCGCCTGGGAGTGTGGAACGTGCACCAGGAAAGAGTTTCAAGCACCAGGAAAAGTACAGAGACTGAAGGGTTTTCACGTGTCGGGCCCTGGGAGGCGGATACTCTCGCGGCGCTGTTTCGATGCTTCCCTGGGTGCTCGAAATTTTCTGTTTGGGATGTGGCCCTCAAGCGCTGGGGGAACAGCACGACGCTAGATGCCAGAGGTGGCCCTGGCCCAAATACGGCCCCAGCTGCTCCAGCGGAGGGGCTCGGTCGTTCCTTAGGTTTACATGCGTTATTTACAGTTCCTTATGCGTTATGTATTATGTATCGTTCCTTATGCGTCATTCCTTGGGATAAAAAATGGGGCTTCGTTCCTTATTTATCGTTCCTTAGGTCAGGCCGATGACTGTATTAGCCATGCGGGAAGTGCGCAATCCTCGAGCGGCCGCGCATGGGATGCTGCTTCGGACATCAGCTGCCATGTGGAGAGGTCACCATTTTCGGGCGGGCGCGCGTGGAAGGGGGGGGCCACGCATTGGCTGCCATACGGGACGTGCACCATCCTCGAGCGGGCACGCGTGGAAGGGGGAGTTTGGCATTGGCTGCCATGCTGGAAGTGCACCGTCCTCGATCCGGCACGGGGGAAGGTTGCTCGGTGAGCAGGGGGTGCTCACGCAGGAGTTTGCGGGTAGAGGGAGGGGCGGCCCCCTGCTAGAATTCAGCAGCTCTACCAGACAGAACCGTGGTATCCTTCCGCGCCTCAGCGTGCCAGGGGGCACGGTTGCGGATGTCTTGTTCTGTTGTCTCGCTCTCCCCCTCTCGCCCTCTCTCCCTCTCGCTCTCTTTCTCTCTCTCTCTCTCTCTCTCTATGTCGCTCTCCCTCTCCCTCTTGGTCCATGTGTATGTCACAGCTTCTGACCGTCGCCATACTAATTGGTTGCTCGATTCGGCACACGACCCGGTTAAGACGTCTATGGCGCGCAGTCGTTGATGAGTTTCGAGGTCAGAACTACTGGGGCCTGTCAGGAGCCTCTTGGGGGCCGTGTGGGGGCCTTTGGGGGCCTGCTTTGGGCCTCTTAAGGCTTCTTGTGGGCCTGCTGGCGGTCTCGGGGGCCCCCTTTGGGCGAAGGGCTCGAAATGTCAATTCGATTTCCCCATCTTGGGCTCTCTGGGGCTCTCTGACGGCCCTCTTGGGCCGTCTTGTGCGATCCGTGAACCCTCTTGGGGCTTTCTTGGAGCTTCTCGGGGCCCTCTTGGAGGCCTCTTCGGCCGTCTTGAGGTGATCTGGGAGATCTCTCGGGCCAACGGCTGGTGGAAAACTACCAAAACGTGTCAGCACACATTGCCATTGCAATCGGTCGTGCGACGACCGCGTTTGAACCAAGGCCGTGCTCTCCCTTGCTCGGGACGGTCCGAGGACAGCAGTGCAGAGTGGAACAACTGTAAAGACGCGTGCGCACACACACGCACACCCGCACACCCGCACACCCGCACACCCGCACACCCGCACACACACACACACACACACACACACACACACACACACACACACACACACACACACACACACACACACACACACACACACACACACACACACACACACACACACACACACACACACACACACACACACACACACACACACACACACACACACACACACACACACAAACACGGTGCTCCACACAGCTTCG